CAGTCTTACAAAATCCTGACAGACTCCGTGATTCGTGCTCAGAGCCAAAGTCCGGGCACATACTTGGATTGAACGGAGTTATCAAGCATACTTTTCGTCAGTTATCATATAATATTCACAAGCATAAACCTAGGAAAAGTTTGAAAGTGCGGAATAATAGTCTTGTGTGTCTTTTCCAACTCTCAGTTATCTACCAGAAGAACAGACCTAAGAAGAATAAAAGAGCAGAGAAAAGGTGCTTTTGTTATGACAAACCTTACAAAATGCTCGTTCGACTGTTGAAATGCTCGTTAACATTCCAGCAAGGAAGATGAGACAAAATAATATTCTTCTGGGTGTACAAAGGTAGTGTACTTCATTGGTAATGTACAAAAACAAATAGGAAATAAAAGTACTACTCAGATTTAAGACATCGCAACAGAGAAATCAACCAGATGAACTGTAAATATTGAAAAAAGCAATGCCAAGTTTCAAATAATCTTTTGAAAGAGCTCCGCGTGGGAAGAGGACTGGAAGGAACCAAGTGAATCAGAGTGGTTACCAATAATTTAAAACATGTACTTTTTGCGTAGATACTGCAAGTACTCATTAGAATTTACATCAGGAGGTGGCCCTAGGGAGGACAGGTCTTTCTCCACGGCTTGGAGACTCAACTTCGCTTTCTGTAGCAGGATGTTGGTGGTACTAGCGGTGGAAGCTACGGATAGTCCATTTTGAGGAAGGAAGACATTTCCAAAGTTGCGCATAATATCGCGAGTAGGATAGCGGTCTAAAAGTAAAGCACACAAACACAAGTAATGATGACTTTGTTTCCCATATGCGAATGCGGAATGATGACTATGACGTAATTTTAGACAAATGCAAACTGCACGCAGATATCACAAGGCGGCTACATTCAACTCGGTGGCACCTCATATCATATAGGTAGAAATACATAACCGACAGAGACAAGGGAGCCTGGAATGGTCATTTCCGGTTTCTAAGCCGTCATTAGCCAGCCATGTTCAGCCTCAGGGAAGGCGAACCCCGAGGCTCGAGACACAGTGGTTAGAGCGTTGGACTTCTAGCCAACAAGGTCGCGGCTTCGAGCCTCGCAGGTCGCCTCCTCTGGGTTGGACATGACTGGCTGATGACATTTTAAAAGCCGGAAATGACCCTTCCAGTCTCCGTTGTCTTTTTCGGTAATGCGTTTCTATTTATGATATATCCTAGCCGTTGAGGGGCAGCTGGCGGGCTCGGGAGCGACCCCCAAGGCAAGACGTGTCGGGTGAATTCCATAACCTGCCAGTGAGCGCCTACTTACAATTTCATATATATTGTTGATTGAAGCGCAAATGCGCGTCCCGAGCATATATATATTGCGTAGATTGTTCCTAATGTTTCGATTTACAGAACGTTTGTTGCAAACAATGGGATCAGAATTTCAAAGGCAACTAGCATAGAGACCTACAACACTAACAGGGCATTTGAAATAAGTGGAATTACTGTGAGTCGCAAAAAAATACTAGCTTCTTCTCAGCGTTGTCTTTTAAATTTAAAGTTTGCGCTTCTGACTTTTCCCCTAAACACTAATATTTGAAGGGTGATCGCAACGCAAAAAGTAGACACTAGCATTAAACGTTGCAACCCTTGTCCTGGTTTACGAAGAAGCTACATATTTTTCGCCTTTACGGACTTTACTTGTTAAGATTATGAAGTTGTCGGAGCACTTACCGAGCAGGAGATTGGGGTTGGGATTAGAGCATGGAGGGTATGGCTTTCGCTCTACTAGGGGCCTTCTGCTGCGTTTGATGTCATGGTCCACCTTTGGTGTGTCTACTGAACTCTTGTCGGAGTCAGCTTCAGAGTGTACACTGGTCACAGGTTCATAGCGGTATTTGTCATCAGGCCTAGGAGAAGCGTTGTGATGATCCCAACGCCGACTGTAAGTCCTGCCACCTGAATTCTTCCGGTAACGATGCCTCGCAGGCTTCTGCATAGGAGTCCTTTTTACCTCATCGGACGAGAGTTCGGAAGATGAGCTGAAAAGAAGCGCAGCATGTAAGCTTACTGTTTCAGCTTTGAGAACATGATGGATGTCATGCCCAACCACGAATGGATCGAGCCTTAAGTTTTGGCATAACGCGTGGGGGCTCGCGAAACACAAAGCTGAGCTTCTGCTTAAGGATCACGGTTGCAGTGAAAATAACTCTGACAGAAGAGCACACCGTTCAAAACATATCAAACTTAATTATTAAGACATTAAAACTACTAATACCGAAGAAAGCAGAAGGGTGCGAACAATGTGGTTAAAGCCGCTTCTGGCGAAATGAATTTTTGTGTTACCAAAGATAGAACTACCGAATTATCTCGTCAGTTCGACCGCCGCGAGTGACAATATCCATTGTGTGGTGCCCAGCGTGTTGTGCGCAGGACAGCAGCTTGCATGTGAACTCGTGTTTCCTCTACTGATCACAGGTTTGCGCAGTATCTGCCGCACTTGCTCCTCCCTCTCTCACCCACTTGAACCCGGAGAAAGACAGATTCCGGACGATAGGAGGCGGAGTCAGGCGCATATCTGATAGCCTATCTATGTGTGCCAGACACGACCTACTCCAGCGCAAATCCCAAGTACCTAAATATTTTGGAATCTTTTAAAGACGTGTTCTAATATTTGAAGAGTTCGGTACCCTGGCCATTCTCGAGTAACAGGTTAACAATGTTAATTTAAGGGTCTAAAGAAAAAAATTGAAAGTAAAACCGATCCAGCTTAGAAACCTCCGGCAAGCCTTGTTTTATTCAGCATTTATTGCCCGGACTCTTCAAGAAATGAGGCCAGAGAACAACTAGACATAAATATGGAGTAAAATCTCTGTTGTAAGTGATGCATTAATTGAGCAGATTATGTGACATACTCGTACCGCAATATCCGTCCAAATGTATGAGAAGCTATTGCGAGTTTAAAAAGATGGGAGAGAAGCTTACTTTTCATGGTTTTGTTTTGATCTCTACATTTCGGTATGGAGTCGATGTTGGTTTGTAGCCTATTTGCAGGCACTTTTTGCGCAGATAATGTGCCCTATTGTATTTGTCATTTTGATTAGCGCACGCAAAGGTTTTGTTATTTAAATAATTATTTCCTTTTATTTTCTGCTGTTATACGCTCAACTTTTTAATTTATTTTTTCTTTCCTTTGACATGACCCAACCATAAACTCCCTATTAACACCGCTGCAGTAAGACAAAATGATGAGGCTAGCGATATCTAATTACCTCGGCATATAATACTGTTGCCGGGAGATTGAGGGCTGTAGATACGGCACAAATCTACTCTCAACATAATTTCATTCATCATCCATTTCCCACCTTTCGCTAGTGCAGACGATGGAAATCGTCAGATATGTCACACCCTAACGATTCAAAAGTTACCAAAAGACAGGTTCATATTGTAGAACTTCAAATAAACGCTTTTGTCTAAGTAGATTAACAATGTAGACCAGGGCAGGCATTACCTCAAGGATTCAGACTTTTGTCGCACGGAGTTCGCTGAAGTATGCCGATAGGACTGTTTGCGTGCAGGTGTCATGGTTGTAGATCCGGAGGCCCTACGTCTCATCGGCCGGTTGCTCAACAGGTCCATGTGTTGGATCAGCTTCGATGCTAGCTTATGCTCCGTGCGGGCATTCTCCTCTAGCACCTGCTTTTCCGTCAGGATACGTCCTCGTTCCTGCTCCAGCTCTGTAACACGCTGTTTCAAGCGCTCCTGTTCATTTTCAGTATTTTCTGGACAGTAGCGACTTCGGAAAATTGGGACACTGGATCGTCTATCTACCGTCCTTGAGGTCTACATTTGTCCGAAGAAGAAAATAGCATTACACTTCTGAATAAAATTTCCCCCCAAAGTTCCCATTGAACATCAGAACGATCAACCAACACATTATCGAGTACAAGGCGGAACAGAAAACTATAAAAGACGACCGACTTAACATGAAACTCACTTCCCCACGACACTGCTGAGGATGGAGGCATGACCTTTTAGGGTAGCAGTCGTCCTCAAAGAGGATGCAATCAGCACATTGTGGGCAATACAGTGGTATCATTTGTCTACCGCATTCACATGCCCAACTAACCTTCGATGCGGGACTGTTTTCGGAATTGAAGTCCTTCTTGTAAACGAAAAAGACCAAAAATATCTCCAAGAGCCTGATCACCGAGGAAAAGACCCATGAACTCAACAGAAGTAATTTATGAAGATAAAGGGTTCTTTGGGAAAATTTGGACATTATCATGTGAATTTTCGACGCAGGATCCTCTCGTCGTCTTCGGACGTAAGAAAGTGTGTAACAAACAACTAAAATTTTTAAACTTTCAGGAAAATCAATATTCATCTAACGAGTATGCCGATTGGCAGGATTTTCAGTCTGTGCTAGTGGATGTTATGCGTCTTTCGTCATTCGGCTGTGTTTGGTTGCGCGCGTTGATTTTGGCTTTGAGGTAACTATAGCTGGCGTCCAAAACTATATGCCCGTTGATGCATGCTTCGTCTGAGTGCACTGCCTCCAGGAATTCACGGCCTTTTCTAGTTGAATAAATGCCAACAATCCGTGTGTTCTGCCATGCAAATTTGTGACCGGATTCCAATGTGTGCATGGCCACCTGGGATAAATGGTCTCGTCTTCTGACCGCTGACTGATGTTGGTCTATGCGGGTTGAGGCACATTTCCCAGTTTGGCCACAATAAACTGCATCACAACTGGAACACGGGATCTTTTAGACAACCCCTTTTCCTTCAAGATAGCCAACCCTGTCCTTAGGGTGTACAAGCTGTGATCGTAAGGTGCTTGCGGATTGGTATGTCACTTGTATCTGGTGTTTTCTTCGTTTTCTTTCAACAAGATCAGATATATTGTTTATGTATGGGAGAGTACGCCAGGTTAGTGTTTTCGATACCTCGTTGGCCCTACTAGTTGAAATGCCTCTTTCTTTTCCTTTGGATTCTTGTCGTTTGATGCAATGGAGCACAAAATAGATAAGCCAGTACTAACAAAGAAGGTCGTATTTTTCGGCATGGTGTAATACCATAAACATTACAGCGCCCGTGAAAATTGATGAGCTCCAGAAGCTTTGTTCAGTGTTAAGAGCGAATATGGCGCGAATTTGACCTCTACATCTGAAAAAAGACCATCAGTATATGACAATGGTGGATGCGTAAGTTCAATTTCAGTCCAAGACAGTTTGTAATAATTTTCCGTCTTAAGCAATACAGCGTGGACGTCTGTTGTAAGTGCGAGACCCAAAACGTTGACTACGGTTTCGGCGGGGAACAGGACCAGTCGAGGGAATCTTTAACTCCATCCTCTACGAAAAAATATATATCCAAATTATCCGGAAATCTTCTTCCGGTATAAAAACCCACGTC